CAAGGCTTTGCAGGATCCAATACCAAGTCTCTACCCTTGTGGTTTGGTCATTAGAGGCTCGGAGCAACCCTAAACAAAGTTGGTGCCAAGAAGGATGCAAAAAGCGGGCTGTCACCAGCACCAAAACTGCAACTCAAACACTGGGAACTGCACGGATGTCGAATTCTGGCGATGGCAGGTTTATGCTTGCCGTATGCACTGCCATCAGCCGGATTCAAAGCTGGACCTTAGATCAGCGAGAAGAGAACCCTCAAAACAAGCATAGGCAAGGTCGGGATACATTCATCTTTTAGTGTCCTGCTACAAAGAACACTTGTAATGTTACTGGCGCAATTTCAGAAGCCGGAAAGGCTGAGACGAGGCTCTTGCAAGGACCTACGGAGGGATCCAACCGGGTCCTTGTTCAATCCTGAATCAACCTTTGCACTCAAATATTGACATGATGCGGAAGGACAAAATCCAATCCAGGCACCAGTTGGGATGGATGACACCCTGTGAATCCTGGGAGAAGCCACCTACAACTGTTGCACATGTCCATTCACAGTATCACGTTTCGAGAAACCGCACGCGTATCTTGCCAAGTAGTTCCGAGAACTCCCCGCTTGGCTACCTTTACCTTTCGTGATCTGGAAATCGAACGCACAAATTCGTTCAAAGACAGCGACTCATCACCCCTCTGGACAAAATTACTTGTCCCAAGAGCACATGGGAGCATGGTACGGTCTCAACTCCGGATTTTACAGGCGCGTCAGCGTGAAAAATTACAACTTACAAAAACCCCTAAAAGCATGAGCACGTTCCCTTGGTTTCGCTTTAAAGCAAGGGGTAGCCCAAAAGCAAGGCAGGACAGCAAGCATTAAACATTTAGAACTCTTTCCGAAGATCAGGAGAAATGGCTGGCTGCTGAAAAGAACAATGGTTGAAAGGAGATTCTTGAAAAGAGCCGAGCATCAACCCCTCGATCGGCGCAGTTCCACGTGACTGGAAATACCGATCGATGCCGGGTCACGCCATAGTTGGCGTCCAACAACGGGAGTCCTCCTGCTAGGCTCAATTACATCCACTCTCCCACTGTGGATCAGCCCCACAAGCTGTGCCGTGTTCAAAACTCCCAATGTCAGTCATGGTCATGCTTCACTTATAGAGTAGGAATTCATGGCCTACCAACCGCACATCTCGTTCCATTCCAGGCCCCGACGGCAACGCGCCCTGCTGAACCGAGGCCTCCTCCTGGCAATCAAATCCAACCTCTTGCGTCTCTAAAGACTACATGGGTTGTCTCAGAAGAGGGGAACCCCAAAAAAATGGCTGTCCTTTGGTTTCGCTTTCAAGACAACCTTGAAACCGATAGACTCCACATGCGCCATGGTGGGCCAGAGGGCTTGAAGACTATATCAGCCCCAAGAGCTGTTTGGACCATGGTTCGCGCCCATACAAATGGCCTCATCTCTGTAGGCCCATGTCGCTTGATGGGAAGGTCGCAGTGTTGGGCACCCATGCTCAATTCAAACCAACCCAAGTGGATGATGTACTCTTTGATGTCAGGGTTGTGGGGCTTGCCAACACACCCGTGGAAAACGGCCTCCCCCATAACCTAAGAGAACCAAACTGGAGCCAGTTCAGCTCCCGATGCAGATGAGACGTGCCAGGTGATGCTGAGAGTGCTGGGGATGCGGACCCTGCATCACCAGCATCATCCGCATTGCAATTGAGGAGAAAAATTGCTGAAAAAAGCAAAAGGTCCCCCTTAGTATTTAACCTCCCCCCACACCCCCAATTAGAGCTTCGCCCCCCGCCAAAGAAGTCGAGCTCTCGTGACAAACTCTTCACAGAGGGAGGTTCTCTCATATCGCAGAAGTGGAAACTATCCCTGCATGGTTCACACTCCGATGTTTGTTGTTTTTGCTTAAGGAGCCTTAGGAAAGGAATGCTCAAATACTATGACACTGCTTAAGCAACCCTCCTTTGCAGCCAGACCCTCCTGCGTTGACTGACCTTGAGGTTTCACCTTAGACTGACCAAGCGTGCGTCGAAACAAGTTGGACTCCTTGCGGGAACATGCGGGAACATTTCTTCAAGGTAACCAGCATGAACCAATTTTGTGAGACAGCCAAACAACCGCCAGATGCGCCCCCAATTGCGAAGGCTGCGCACTGATCAGAGTGTGCCAGCGAGCCTCCACTAATTGATCGAATTGAGACAAAGAGAGAGAGAGAGAGAGAGAGAGAGAGAGAGAGAGAGTCCCACCTGGTATGTGTGAAAGTCTAGAGAGTCGACCATGTCCTTGCCAATGGACCGTAAACTACTGGATTGTTTGACCGAACCTCACATGCTTGTGTTTGTGCCGTTTCACATGAATGTCTCTGACCGCCCTTCATGTTTGCATGCGGCTTGCCAATGCTCGGATTCAAAAAGGCTCGAGCCTTCAAACCGAAGAGTGAGTCATAATCAAACTTTGGTAGTTCAAGCAGTTATCTTTGCACAATATGAAGAAATAGATGAATTGAGCACAAAATCTAATGGTAAAGAATCACAAGGTCACAGGTGTTAAACCTATTTGTGATAAATACCCCTACTTGCCTTCACTGACTCAAGCCAGTTTTGCGTGGCTATCTCCAAACAGGACCAAAACATTGTCTTCCAAACCAATGTTGGGGTCTTTAGCTCCAAAGTAACCGGCAAATCTGAGCGACATGTTCCAATCCGCTCTCCTCTGCCGGCTCCCTGGGCAGTTGGAGCTAAAGCATGGAACGCACCAAGAGATAGAAATACAAAATCGGTGGGTGCATTTTGGTACAGAAGCGGATGTCCCGCGTGGTGGGTGCTGGATAAATATCCTCAAAGTTTGCCCTGGTGCTGTAAAGCCAGACCATCCCCAAAAGTGACACGAAGAGCATCACTTAATATGTAATTACTCTAAGGAAGCAAAAGGTATGAAAGGTTTATTGGGTGGACCCCTTTCTGGGGTTTACAATCTTCGCAAGCATGTTTGAGGGTGTTCCAAGCCTTAAAAACTCATAGCCAAATAGATCAAAACCAAAACCTGGTGCGCCTGTGTACTTTCTGGTTGGGGCTGCTCCCCTCAACCTTCATCTACCCAGGTTTCGACTGTGGCTCAAGTGGTTGCACGTGGTTGACAAAATAGTGACCCCACGCCTTTCAAGGTGGCATCAAACGATCCCGTTCTCAAAGACCAAGCTCCCACATGGACTATGACTTGGACACGCACTTTGTGCTCGAAGGCCTAAAAAGAAGCAATACAGCAAATAGCAACCGGGAAGGCACAGTCTCTTCGGGACAGTTGCAACCAGCCACTTTGAACTGCTTCGTTGATTGGGAGAAGTAGGCGCCGCACACTAGATATCGCGCGGGCGCGGGACCTTGGATGCGACGGCCGCGGCCGTCAAAAGAAGGGATGAACGGGGGATGTCCTGAATAAAAGGGGAGCGGGATCACTTTTCGAACGAATCCAATGGACTCCTTCCTTTGGAAATGGTTGGACCCTTACACGCGACGAGCTGCTGGTTGGCCTCAGTCTTCCTCTACTTGGAGATTTAACCCACTCAACAAGTCACAACCATGGATATATGTGGCACAAGAGGAATGGGCAAACAAGCCATGCTCATAACCTACTTGCTTAGGTCGAACATCCTAGCAAAAAAGCGCTGCCCCCCCCCCATTTGTGCCGCCTATTCCCAGGCGGGCCAGCCGCAAAGTCGCCTGGCGCACTTTGACAACAAGTTGCCGACCCAATCCACTCGTTGGCCCCTGTTTAAGCAATGGTGAAAACAAGCATTGTGCAAACGGTCTCCTTTCGGTTCCCCCGAGCCCTGGACAAATTATACTTTCCATACGTTGCCTTGCATGTTCTGTCTGCAAATTGTTGACGCTGGTCCATCGCATGTGCTCAAAAAGATGTAGTGTAAGTTGTTGCAATAGTTGTATCCATTGTTCTGCTACTGCTTGTGAAGGCGCTGCTGTTTGCAGTTGACCATTTGTGACTGATAGTTGCGATTGCTCTGACTGTCTCGGCAGTCTGCTGCATGATGCATCTCGTAGTCCAAGGTATGCTGTCATCTTGTACTTCCATTCTTCAAACGTGTTGTACTCTCCTGTGAATCGTGGTGGTGCTATCTTGTACTTGTGTATTCCTTCCAGCTGCTGCTGTTGCTGTTGGGCTGCCATTCCTTGTGTGGTGTGTGGAACAGGTGTGTGACTGTGTTCACTGCTCCGCTGCCATGTTAAACTTGGAGCAACTGTGTAACCTGTTTGCCTGAAGTGAATGAACCTGTGTGTGAAGTGGCGCACTCAGTTGTTTGTATCTCGGGCTTCACTTGTACTAGGCTCAATGCTGTACATGGGCTCAATCAAGGCCTTGATGTGCAAAGGGGCCAAGGCAGGTGAATACAAGGCTGTATTGTAACATATCGGTGTAGATGAAAAAATAGCAATAGGGTTGTTTACATTCTCTGATTTTGAGTCGATAAAGAGTGCTCTCACAATGGTACACCTAAGCTGACATTGCGTGGTTCACGTGTGTTCAATGCCCGGCCGGAACACGCAGCTTGTTTCAAGGCAGGGCATGCACACGGTGTCCTTCGCGCGAAAATCGCTAGCCAGGAGCAATTCAGAAGCTAAGGACCGCACACAACCAACAACAACCAACCAACAACCACAAATCATCGCTTCTGATTCTTCGGCCCCATCCAAATACCTCCAGTCGCCGGAGTAAGAAAATAACACCTAGGCTTTGCACGGGTCCTGATTCGCTAAGCCTTTGTGGGATGGGCGGCAACGGGAAGATGTTAATAATACATATTCATGATATATGTGTTACAATAATTATTTTACTTATTAATGTTCTAGTGCGATGGATGTCTTGTGCCTGCCTGAGGTGCTAATCTGTTTCTGTAATTTCCATCCGGAGAGTAGTTCGCAGCTCGCCTGACCCTGTTGAACACAGACGTGGCGCCCTGATCATCTTCATAGCCGAAGGATACCTCGGCACGGGTCTGTGCAACTGACACCTGAGAGCTTCGCTCCATGTACCCGGCACTCGGCTTCTGTGACACATCCGTCCGAGGCGCGAAATTCCCAGAATCATTTCGGATCTCAAGTCTTCACGACGTCGCCTGTGCCATAGTAACTCCTTCTGGCCAGGGTCAGGGTCGGTCTGAACTCTCTGATTTTGAGATGACCATCTCAAAGAGGAACCCCTATCCCCAATAGCAACACTTCTTGTACCAATGTCTAGCAGTATGAGACATCCTCTAAACTCAGGTTACACATAATTATGTGTCATCATATTTTGTTTGTTGTTCAGCCATCTTCAAGTTTGCACTCATTGCGTGGTTCACGTGTGTTAAATTTCCGGCCGGAACACGCAGCTTGTTTCAAGGCGCGGCAAGCACACGGTGTCGCGAAAATCGCTAGCCAGGAGCAATTCAGAAGCTAAGGACCGCACACAACCAACAACAACCAACAAACAACCACAAATCATCGCTTCTGATTCTTCGGCCCCATCCAAATACCGCTCCAGTCGCCGGTGTAAGAAAATAACACCTATAGGCTTTGCATGGGTCCTGATTCGCCAAGCCCACAAAGCCTTTGTGGGATTGGCGGCAACTTTCGCCGCCACAGGTTTTCCTTCCATGGAGGGTTAGGCCCTTAAGACCCCCTTAAATTCCTAAATCGAAGACGTCTTCGACACGGACACTATCCATGGCCATGCTATGAAAATTAGCAATCCGGAACTGAGGCTAAATGATGCACTCGTGGTTGAGGAAACCTCTTGAAGGCCTTCCCTGGTTGTGGAAACATCTTGGCCTGCGCTGGTTGTGGAAACATCTTGGCCTGCGCTGGTTGTGGAAGCATCTTGGCCTGTGCTGGTTGTGGAAGCCTCTTGGCCTGTGCTGGTTGTGGAAGCCTCTTGGCCTGTGCTGGTTGTAGAAGCATCTTGGCCTGCGCTGGTTGTGGAAGCATCTGTGCTGGTTGTGGAAGCTTCTTGGCCTGTGGTGGTTGTGGAAACGTCTTGGCCCGCGCTGGTTGTGGAAGTTGCTGAGGCTGGCAGGTCACAATCTTGGTAGCAAAACTCATACCGAACGAGCTTGTTCTGAGTCGAACCAACGTACGCAATGGCTTTGCCATTGATCAAATGTACATCATCAGCCAGTGGAAGCTTCAGAGGAAAGGACCAGGTGCTCTGGCCACGTACTGTGGTGCCTTCGGCATCGATAATCATGTACTCACTCCTCTGGTATTTGGTGGCGGTCCAAGCCTCCCAAGAGAGCAAGACTGCACCCTTCAGCTCTGCTGTCTTCAAGCGGCTCACTGAGTTGTTGACATCTGCGTAGGACGTGAGAAAGCTGACGCGGTTCACCGCCTCCTCCCACACCCCCTGTTCCCAGCGTCCGCCTGTCTCGACCGGACCATCCGAGAGAACCAGGTCGCTGCTCAAATCCCGCGGGATCCGGATGAAGCCCAAGTTACGGGGACCAAGCAGCTGGGTCCCCACCAAAGAGTTGTCTAGGGTCGGTTGTTCACCTGCGAAGAAAACGAGAATGGTGTCGTTGATCTCAATGAGGCCAGGGTGGCCCAATTCGGTGTAGACATTGTTATCACTGCTCGTCCTGTAGTAGGTCTTTGCATCACTGGAGATCTCTTCGTAGACCGGATAGCCGGCGTTGGGATCTTCCGAATGTTTCATCTTCGTGGAGTAGGCCATTCTGCCCCTCGCCGAGTGGGAAGCAGCCTGCAGCTCCCACAAAGTCACCCCGCGCGGGTAATGGTCTCCCAAGTCCATCCCCAAGTACCAGCCCTCCTTCTTCGAGACCAGCACAGAATTCCCAAAGGAATGACCTCACAGCGGCCCGACAAGTTCTTTTTTTGGGAGGCTAAGCCATGAGATGAATCTAGCTTTTTTGGAATTGAGCCGATAAAAATCCTTGCCCCGAAAAAACATGGGAACATTAGATGGCTGGCTTTGGTAAATTTGAGGCCAGGCCCCCCTTCTCGTCCTCAAACAATCTACAATCAGCTGATTTGTTCGACGAAAGGGCTGGCGGTTTGCCCATAATTCAGGTGCATCTCCAAGGTTGTCGCGTTGAGCAGGAACGCAATGCCACCTTGGTGGTTGGCCCCGTCGCTGGACTGCGTCATGGTCCGTGCCAGGGCCTTGGTCTCTGACCGACTGACCAAGGCCAAAACGGGGCTCGCTTCATTTTCCTGTAGGTTGAAGCCATTGCGCAAGGTGCGCACCACCCTTTTTGCCCAAAGCTTCAAAGGTCAGTTCGGTCACACCTTTGATGTAAATGGGGAGTCGGACCCCAAAATGGATTTCGATGTTCCTTTTGGCTTCCCTTCAAGCCAACGTGAGAAGGGCGCCGAGCGTCAAAAACACACGCTCTGTTGGTTGCCAAAAGGCGATGGCAATGGTGCCCGACTCCACGTCCCAAGCGAAAGAGGCGCCGGAGACGAAGAAGGCGTGGACACCAACGGCACCCCTCTCCGTGGGCAACGCCACCTCTGCTCTAAAACGCTCGTGGCCCACGTCTTGGTTTTGCAGGCCCAATGCTTCAAGCACTTTGGGGATCAAACCACCTGGGTCATTGAAGCGACACTTGCCAAAAGTAATTCTGATCACTTCCTACGTCGAAACGAAGGAGCATCTCGAGCCCGGCCTTTTGAAGTTGGTTGCCGGCGACGTCGAACTTTATCACGTCGGCAGAGACCACGGAGTTCGGCTGATCCGGCCTGGGACCAGGAGTATCATCGCCCACTAGGATGACCACTTGCCCTTGACCATTGCCGGCCGCACCAATGAACACCTGGGAGGACAAAGTCACCTTAGTTGAATCCCATCGTGCGAACATCCTCAGGAACCCTTGCGACTGTGCTGCACAGCCGCATCAACAAAGCAACCTCGATCCTACAAGGCCAAAGTTAACTGGTTGGAAAGGTTAGTGTCCAGTAGAATTTGCGAGACCCAGGCTGTCCACACAGGTTTGTGGACAGGGACCAAACGGCAAAACCCTTCAAACATGACATGGTATCAAGTAATGGCAAAGGTTTCTCACGCAACATCTCCCAAGTCGATGAGAACATCACTCGTACAACTACACGTGGCACAAAATGCAAACAAAAAGCACCTCCTGTACTGTGCGAAAGGCACCCAAGAAATGACCAAACGTCTTCCATCACCTCTTCCCCCCTCAGGCCCTTGCTAGGGAAAACGTCTCGGAGGATGAGAAGTCGGCCGCCAGCCAGGTGAGCTTCACAGTGTTGGTGTCGAAGTCTTGCCAGACCACCCCCTCACGCCCCTCTCGGAACACCGGGAAGAAGCGCTTGTAGATGCCGTAATTGCCGTCGTAAGTGCCTCGCTTGGGGCACAGTGAAATCCAAGGCCCCGGTGATCTTTGCAGCAGATATGCTAACCGCGTCCCGTCTGTGGGGAATGGTACTGGCAAAGGAAAAGTTTGTGTGACTCTTCCAAGAAAAGGGACGAGAAATGAAAGGGCAGAAATCTATTTTGACGCCCAAATAGCATTTTTGCACTCAAACCCGACAGCTTTGCAGATGTGGACCCAGCCCAAGCCGCGCCTGGGCCAAAGTTCCAATGCACTTCGGGCACGAAAGGCTGCCCGGGCACAGTGAATCTCCGGCCGCTCACCCCGGCGGTGGCATCTCCGTCAATCCACGCAGCCTCCACACCTGGGTGTGTCTTTTGTGATTGCACCCGTTTTGGAGTGGCTAAACATGGAAACCAAAAGGAAAACAACCAATTTGGGACCCCCTATTTTAACACAACCCCACCTGTGGCCACCGGCGGCCAAATACTCACCCTCACATCGGCAGGCTGGAGGACGACAACTACGGGCTCAGTGATCTGGTCGACCCGGAAGTCTGTCCTGGTGAAGTTGTTGGCGCCCACTTGCACAGTCTCCCACAAGCGGAAGCCGCCCGCGTCGAAGGTCCACACATTCGTGGCCTGGGACTTGTGCGAAAGAATCGAACAGGTAACGACCTGAAAAGGGGAAGTGCCATTTGAGTTGGGTACAACCGAAAAGCACAAGCCCGGCCTGTGTGACACTCTGCTTGATGTACATCTTGATGTTGCTAGAGACCCACTCGGTGGCCAGGGAAGTCGGGGGCCATATTTTCATGGCCTCCAAACGGGTCGGAGGTCACATGCGCGCGTGACCACCTCTTACCTCGAACTGTTATTTCGATTTTCGGAAATAAGCAAATCCTATCTCGCAAGCTCAGTACACTTTTCCTCTCGTCCACACGGCCGCTCGAGGGACGGGTCGCGAGGTGAGCTGAAGCAAAGGTTGGCAGCTGGTCAAGAGGAGGACGGCCATGCCGCAAAGAGAAGACTAAAGATGTGAACGGCAGGCCATGGAGCGGCAAAGAACGTCAGCCCGGAGCCTTTGGGCAGACGTCAGCCAGGCCGGCTGTGGGAAGACTGCGAGCGGACGCAAAGACTACAGAAAGATTATGAGAACACTACGGGAAGACTGCGGAAAGACTACCGGAAGGCAGCGGGAGAAACGGACACTGCGATAAGTATTCCCGTAGTCCTTCCGTAGTCTTTCCGCAAGTCTTCCTGCAGTCTTCCCGTAGTCTTCGCGCAGTCTTTCAGTAGTCTTTCCGCAGTCTTGCCGCAGTCTTCGGCAGGCAAAGATTGCCTGCAACGCTCCGGGCTGACAATCTGGAAGACTGTGGGACTACAAGAAAACTACAAAGTTGTCGAAAGGACAGGTTAAGCCTACTCGCGCTTGTGGGCGCCCGGCCTGCTGGAAATGGGTCCCGGTTCCTGAGGACACACCCTGTGCCTGAAATTGGGCGTGCCTCAATTTCGGCAAGCTCATCGCTTTAAATTATACAGACACACTCAGCTGTTTTGCACGGCTGGCACACTGGGTGTGGTTCCTTTCAGCGTGCCCATGTCGGGCTTGTGTTGAAAGGAAACCACTGGAAAACCACCCGCTTGGGGGTCCCC